CCATGCATGAAAAATATCCCAAGGTACTATATGGGGGGAGCAGCTCTTGAAATTATTTCATGAGATCTTTTCTTAGAAAAATTTTATACACCCCAAGACTATGTATGTCGAAAATGTTAGCTTAGAAGGTGTAGACCAGTTCTGTTTGTTCATGTTCAGAGAACATGTATACTCAACTAGCTCCCTTAATTTTGGTTCAGGCATTGCATGTTATTGGAACTGAACTGTTCTCTCCCCTCACAGATCACTCATTTTGTTAGGAAGGGTTAAGAGAGAGCAGGAGGCCCTGGGATGTCCTCTCCCCACAAATACTGTTTGGAGCAGAAAGCTGTAATGGGAAGTTTTAATGGCCTATTCAGTTCTCTCCCAGCAGAGGCCACATGCTCAGAGCTCCACTGACTCCTGCAGGTTCTACTGGTCCCCCCCACCCTCACCCTCAGCCCCAGCCCCGACTCAGAAAGCGATCCTGAACTGGTCAGGAGTGTCTCAAAGACCTAGCTAGGTAGCTTATGGGACTTACCAACTCAATAGTCCTGCTGCTCTCTTCCCTGACCTTAAGCTGTAGGGAAAGAGCTGGGCTTCGGTCTTGTTCGGTATTTCGAGGCCACCTTCCTGGTCCTCAGTCATCCTTGCCCACAGGATCTGGAGCTCAGACCCTGAGCCTCAGTGAGAAGTTAGGCCACAGCTGCCTGTGACACAAGCTGAAGGATGTGACCCTATCCTCCTCCTTTTTCCTATATAACAACACCACATCCCATTAGAGTTTTTGTTCCCACCCAAATTAGACCAATCATAATCTTTTCCTTTGGAATTTGGAAGTGCATTTATGTATTTAAAGGGAACAACAGAGACAGAGATATCTGATGACCAACCATCCCATTTCTGGACCCTCCCTCAAACTCAGCTGCACTGCTCCTCTATGAGATAATTCTTCTTTTTTTTTTTTTTTCCACTTTCACTTCTTTATTACTATTTTTGCATGGACAGAAAATTCACCTCTCATACCATATTCTCTGGGAGTTACAATGGTGATCAAAATTCTGATTGATAAAAGAGCCACATGAACGTGGTTCCTTAGATATCTTTTTTTTTTAATTTTTTTATTGTTATGCTAATCCCCATACATTACATCATTAGTTTTAGATGTAGTGTTCCATGATTCATTGTTTGTGCATAACACCCAGTGCTCCATGCAGAACGTGCCCTCCTCAATACCCATCACCAGGCTAACCCATCCTCCCACCCCCCTCCCCCCTAGAACCCTCAGTTTATTTTTCGGAGTCCATCGTCTCTCATGGTTCATCTACCCCTCCGATTTCCCCCCCTTCATTCTTCCCCTCCTGCTCTCTCCTTCTTTTTTTTTTTTTCTTAACATATATTGCATTATTAGTTTCAGAGGTACAGATCTGAGATTCAACAGTCTTGCACAATTCACAGAGCTTACCAGAGCACACACCCTCCCCAGTGTCCATCACCCAGTCGCCCCATCCCTCCCACCCCACCCCCCACTCCAGCAACCCTCAGTTTGTTTCCTGAGATTAAGAATTCCTCTCTATGAGATAATTCTCATCATCATTATTATTTTGCTTGATCTCATTCTTATTCATATTGAGTGTTTTCTTTTGACACCAGAACAGTCCTAACTCAAGCAGTTCCCCAGAGATCTAAGCATCTGATAACTTCCTATAGGAAAACTGCAGTGGATCTAGGGAGCAGGGCCTGGGGTGGGGGGGGGCTCTTCTCCATCCCCTCTGCCTTCATCCCAAGTGCGTCTCTTCTGTATGTTTTATACTTTGGGATTTCACACATCATTTTACTTAAACATGTTCTGTTGACTTTCTGTTGCTAAAAAAATGAAAACTTCTCACTGTGGACCTGGGGTGTCCCTGATATCCCATGTATTTCTACGGTTGAGGCAATTGGATTCCTCAGTTTCCGACCTCAACTCATCTCTGACTAAGAATTGTCTGGTCTATGTAACTCCTGAGATCACTCCAAATGTTCAGATGCTGTGATTGACTGAGCCCAAATCCAAATGTTCTCATTTTTTTGTCTCTCTCTTCTGCCTCAGATCTGTAGTACACCTGTGCTATTTCAAGAGTCTGGAACCAAGTATCAGGTCTCGGCAGTCCAGTGTCTTTTTACGATTGCTCAGACTTCCTAAAGCAAATATTACATGATGGCCATTACCATTTATCTCATAATTCTACAGTTTGACAAGCACAGTGATAAAAGGCAACGCACATGATAAATTCTCTTATAATAACCTATAAAGCCCTGTTGGTATCATTTTTGTAATGATATTTTGTTTTACCACTTGAGATTTTAAAAAGGTAGAATCAACTGCCTGTTTTAGAAAGTTTTTTAAATATATATATTATATCCATAATGTATTCTTATAATTGAAGCTTTTGCTAAAAAATTATTGGGCATGTAAGAAATAGCCTCAAATATTCTAGAAGATGAGAAAGGTCTCTGATTTTGTTTACCTGATATTATCCTTAAAAAAGCCTAGGACTAAATTGACATTCACAGTGTTCCTCAAATCCAGCAATCTCATTTACAGCATTTGGAGCTTACCCATTAGCCTTGGAATTTGGAAAAGTTCATTATAATTGGGGTTGGAGGGTTAGTTCATGCACTTCATTAACTCCTGTGCCAAAAATCTCTACACATTAATGATATCTCCACCCAAGTTATTACATTTTTCTCTGAAAATTATTGGGCAATAAATGTTTGAACATAACTCACGTGATACAATAATGGAATTAATGTAAGTAGAGATGTAATGGCTTCTTTGATTAATGGGTTCTTGGACAACACAGCCGACTGAGAATATAATACCTTTTAATTAGAAGTGAGGACAATTTTCTCTTTCAAATATTGGTACAGTTTACATGGTTTATACCTAAGCACAGGTGAGAATTATTTACAGTCTAACTGAAAGTGCTTATCTGTCAAACTGAAAGCTGGGTTTTGATCCATTCCCCTGATCCATGGCATAATTGGTTCGCTTTTTCTTGTCTCATTCAAAGAAAAGCTTCCCCCATCACCCCTCTTTCCTCCCAAGTGTCTTGGCTATCTGTACTAAACAGAGCAAAGTCCATCTCTGACTTTTTAGTTGCTCCACCCCACTCCTTTAATTTTGTGTTCACATTTTGTTATCACTACAACCACCGCTCTTATCCTGATCGATTAAATTTCTACAGAAACTCCTCAGGGAATTTGGCTAATTTTAAACTCACCAATGTTTTTTTCTCAACTTAAAAATAGATATTTGTAGGGCGCCTGGGTGGCTCAGTTGGTTAAGCGACTGCCTTCAGCTCAGGTCATGATCCCAGCGTCCTGGGATCGAGTCCCACATCGGGCTCCCTGCTCTGCAGGGAGCCTGCTTCTCCCTCTCCCACTCCTCCTGCTTGTGTTCCCTCTCTCGCTGTGTCTCTCTCTGTCAAATAAATAAATAAAAATATTAAAAAAAATAGATATTTGTAAATGCTTTCAGGTTTTTATCTTTCTTATTTTCCAGACCATTTCATTGAAGAAAATTGGCATTTTGATCTCAGTTTTATAGATGTGGAATCAGAGGAACATAGAAGTAATAATCTTATCCAAAGAACATAGGGCTCAATTGCAAAGAATTAATTAAAACTATCTTGTCTTTTCTTTAGTCATTCAGCTGTGAATGTGTTTAATGACCTGGTGTCTCCTGTTGGCCACAGTCCTGGAAACACGTTAAGAGAACAGGAATATTCTCAGTCAGGCTCTAAGACGGTGTTTGGGGAAACCAGGAGGCAGTGCTCTGTGGCAGTAGATTGGGAGTAGCCGGCACTGGGAACTGTTAAAGTCACCCTGCATGAGATTTGTTTCTGGGCAAGAAGTGTTGGTGGAGCTCAAAGTCTAACTACTTCGCACAATTAATTGAACCCTGCAGTAGAAGCAAAACCCCTGGTTGTGAACTCAGGTATTAAAGCTGACGTGCACACAAGGATGGCAGAAGACCATTTCGGCCAATTCATCCAGGTCCAATGGTTTGGCGTGGTTACCCCCATGTGCTCCACAGACCTCCTCTGCTCTGAGACGGAGGGACTGGGATTAACCTGGCCTACTGTACCCAGATCATCTGGTGAGCTCCCACAAGGATATTCTCAGACTCCAGTTTAGTGGTCTTGTTCACTGGTTATAATTCACTGGAATGGAAATCCACAGCTCTCAGTATTAGTAGTTGTAATAGTCATAGCAGAGTCTCTGTTGCTTTTATAATTTCACTGGTGCTGGTGGTACAGCATGTAGGGAGGGTGCCCACACACTTCAAGGCATGTGGCTCCTCTACATTGAAGCTTTTTCAAGGACAACGGCCTTGGGCTTTCCGGATTTTAGGTAAGTTAGGGAAATTCAGTACTCAGATCAAAGCCAACTGAAATAAAAAAGCCATTTTCCATGCCAGCTCAGGTCCCTTCATGGACACATGAAAAAGGAAGGAAAGCAGGGCCTGGGAGATAATCAATATTCAACTTAAATAAACTGGAATATTAGAGCTCAGTTTCATTCTGCTCTTCATTTTTCTCTGAACCAGGTCACCCCTTCCTAATTATGACTGAAAACTACCCAGGAATAGAATTATCACAGCATTTAAAGACTGCTGTGTTTAGGGGCTGCCATTGTCCTATAAAAATCTGCATGTAGACTTGAGATCTAAGCCAAGGATATTTGACCTCTGCTGTACCAAGGGCTCCATTTGTAACCTCCCAGAAGCCCAGTGGCTGTGCCTGATTTGCATTAATATTTACATAAATCTACATATGCATGGTTTGCAGGTTTGGTCCATGAGTTGATTGTGTCTTGTTTGCTCTAAAAGTTTAGAACTGAAAGTAAGGGTGAAGGTTATAGCTATCTAAGAGAAAAACATTCGTTGTCCAGGAAATTTAAGAGTCTCTTTTTTAATATGTCTCGCACAAAAGAAAAACCTTTTAAAAAGTAATTGTTGTCAGCTCTCTGCTCCTCCCCATTCGACAGACAGCCGCATCTTCTGATGCAGTGCCAGCCGCGTCCCTGAGACACGATGGTGAAGGTCGGAGTGAACGGATTTGGCCGTATTGGGCGCCTGGTCACCCGGGCTGCTTTTAACTCTGGCCAAGTGGATATTGTCGCCATCAATGACCCTTTCATTGACCTCAACTACATGGTCTACATGTTTCAGTATGACTCCACCCATGGCAAATTCCACGGCACAGTCAAGGCTGAGAACGGGAAGCTTGTCATCAATGGAAAGTCCATCTCCATCTTCCAGGAGCGAGATCCCGCCAACATCAAATGGGGTGATGCTGGTGCTGAGTATGTTGTGGAGTCCACTGGGGTCTTCACCACCATGGAGAAAGCTGGGGCTCACTTGAAGGGCGGGGCCAAGAGGGTCATCATCTCTGCTCCTTCTGCCGATGCCCCCATGTTCGTGATGGGTGTGAACCATGAGAAGTATGACAACTCCCTCAAGATTGTCAGCAATGCCTCCTGCACCACCAACTGCTTGGCTCCTCTGGCCGAGGTCATCTATGACAACTTCAGCATCATGGAGGGGCTCATGACCACCATCCATGCCATCACTGCCACCCAGAAGACCGTGGACGGCCTCTCTGGGAAGCTGTGGCACGACGGCCGAGGGGCTGCCCAGAACATCATCCCTGCTTCCACTGGTGCTGCCAAGGCTGTAGGCAAGGTCATCCCTGAGCTGAATGGGAAGCTCACTGGCATGGCCTTCCATGTCCCCACCCCCAACGTGTCCTCTGTGGATCTGACCTGCCACCTGGAGAAAGCTGCCAAATGCGACGACACCAAGAAGGTGGTGAAGCAAGCATCAGAGGGCCCCCTCAAGGGCATCCTGGGGTACACTGAGGACCAGGTTGTCTCCTGCAACTTTAACAGTGACACCCACTTCTCCACCTTCGATGCCTGGGCTGGCATTGCTCTCAACAACCACTTTGTCAAGCTCATTTCCTAGTATGACAATGAATTTGGCTACAGCAATTGGGTGGTGGACCCTATGGTCCACATGGTCTCCAAGGAGTAAGAGCTCCCTGGACCACCAGCCCCAGGGAGAGCAAGAGGAAGAGAGAGGCCCTCAGCTGTTAGGGAGTCCCTGCCCCAACTTATCCCCCAAAACACTGAGAATCTCTCAACCTCCACCGTTTCCATCCCAGACCCCCTGAAGAAGGGGAGGGACTTGGCGAGCCCTGCCTTGTCATATACCATCAACAAAGTATACTGTACCCAGCCCCCCCCCCCAAAAAAAGTAATCATTGTCAGTCTTCTGCCTTCCATTTCCATAGGGCCATAATGAAACTTCTCATCTTAGAGAAATGAGAATCTATCAATTAAATGTTGAGTATTCTTAAATAAATATTGTTATTATAGACTAAGTTCTCACCCTAAAATTGAGAATTTATAACTAGATGCATGCCACACATTAAATGATTAGAGAAAACTATAAGGGAAAACTTGAGTTTCCAGGCTATCACTATTCCTGGAACATCCAAAGCTGGGATCCATTCTAACTGAGGTTCCCCCTCAGGATTCTTACATCATACAGCATCTATTAGATAACCAGCTTTAGGGCTCCTTTTATGAGGTGGAGTTACATGGGCTTCGTTCGTTCTTTCTTTCTTTCTTTCTTTCTTTCTTTCTTTCTTTCTTTCTTTCTTTCTTCTTTCTTTCTTTCTTTCTTTTAAAGATTTTATTTATTTATTTGACAGAGACACAGTGAGAGAGGGAACACAAGCAGGGACAGAGGGAGAGGGAGAACAGGCCCCCCACCGAGCAGGGACCCCGATGCGGGGCTCAATCCCAGGACCCTGGGATCATGACCTGAGCCAAAGGCAGACGCTTAACAGCTGAGCCACCCAGGAGCCCCTGGCTTTGTTCTTTAATACAAGAGTATTCCTCTTCCTTTTTTACCATTGTGTAGAAGACATAGATCATGAGGATTAAAAATAGGAGCCCTGAAATTACATAATTCTGACCCTGCCACTTACACCCAGTGTGATTCTTGGTCAAGTTGCTTTAATTTTCTATGCCTCAGTTTCCTGCTCAGTAAAATGACTTAGTAATGCCTACCTCAAACAACAGTTATATAAGGATTAGATGAGACAATGTGCATAGTGTTGACCTTAGAAAGAACTCAATCCATGATGCATATTTTTTTTTTAAGATTTTTTATTTATTTGAGAGAGAGAATGAGAGACAGAGAGAGCACACGAGAGGGGGAGGGTCAGAGGGAGAAGCAGACTCCCGCCAAGCAGGGAGCCCAATGTGGGACTCGATCCTGGGACTCCAGGAACACGACCTGAGCCGAAGGTAGTCGCTTAACCAACTGAGCCACCCAGGTGCCCCTCCATGATGCATATTAATACTATTTTGTCTTTAAGCCAACTCAGTACTTTTGCAGATTGGGTCAGTTTTCTCCCAATTCTGAGGATCCCATCTTCCACTACTGGTCGTATCTCTTGGAACTTCTACCTTACCAACAATTGCAACACTTATGTGGACTCTGAGCAGTACTCTTAGTTTGATATTGTTAGAGATCATTTTTAAAGGACTTAGCCTAAATTTCATAGAGCTGGACAATGGAAATTTCTCTGGCATGATTCTACTTTTCTTACTTCAACTTCTCTGCCATTTCCACAGGACTGAGAGTGGAACTTCTTCCCACTGGCTCTCTCTGGGATCAGAGCTGAAATCCTTCTTTGTACTGTGGTATCAAGACACTTTCAATATGCCTTCTTCATACTGTAGCTTTGGTAGAATTATTGGACTCGCTATTGCACACTGAACTCCAAACTCTCCAAAACATTTTTCTCCCAAATTTTTTATTTACACTAAATAGGAACTGTGAAAATGAAGTTTAAATCCAATTCTCACTGGCTGAAATGCCTTTATTTGTAAACCAAAGACTAAGAAGCATGCCATCATATTCCAGAATTCCTAAGGAGAAGTATTCAAATTAGGCTTTTTCTGGACCCTGGGTTGCATTATGTGATACAGACTTTAGGTACAATAGATCCTTGAGATTTGCCAGAGGTATATGCTGAGAAACTTGAAGATTCCAAATTTCATGTTCTGAGGTTACTGTGTGCACAAAGACAGGTAGAGAACAACAAAAGGTCATTAAGTTGTAGATGCTCAACAGTGGACTAGTTTTCCTCACTAATCAGTGATTTCCTCCTTCACATCATGATTCCAATCCATGCCTAATGAAAGTAATAAGAATCAAAATCTCTTGCAACAGTCAAAACTATGAATGGTGTATCTATAAATTCTCAAGTTCTACTTTGTTGCAGAGGTTCATAAAAGGTGAAAATCATTGAGTTTCATTATGGTCTGATGTGAACTAAGACTTGAAATATGTCAGGGTTTGGAAACCTAAGACAAGGGAAAGAGTGTATGGGACAATATATCCAATGATAAAAAGAAAGAAATGACAGGGACTGAGAATAGTGTTGAAATGGGCCACAGAGGAATAGTTTACTTGGTGAAGCTCTCATTTGGTGTAAACTATTCTAGTGTTCAACAGTTGTTTTACTTCCCAGTTTTAGTTGTAATAAAGCAGAAATTCATCACGAAGTTTAACCCATTCTTGTGTTCATCATGGAGCTAGATCAGAATACTTGCACCAGAGATCAGAAGACATCCAATTATATGACAATGGTAGAAATTGGTCACAAACCTCTGTGTAAATTGGTATATTTGTAGATTGCTGTGGAATTATCTTTCATCCTGTCCTTTAGAATTAAGCTTTTCAATATGTTTTAATATTTTTCCCTGGGTTTCATTCTCTACCTCTTAACTTATTTAGCTCCTTACTGAACTACATGAACAATAGATCTTCACATGGCTAGAAGTAGAAAAGAATATGATAAAAATATACTGCTTCTAAGAGATGAATGATTTTTGTGTGTGTGTATGTGTGTGTCTATGTGTGAGACATATATGCTGCTTCAAAATTTCTTTTTCTTTTGGCAAATAAACATTTTTTTTTCCTTTCGTTCTATTTTCTCTGCCAAGGAAACTCATTCCCCTGCTAAGTGGAACAATGTGAAAAAAAGACAGCATACGATGACTTGCAGCCACTTGTTAGCTGACCAGACTCTGTAGTAGCTCTAGCAGGGGAAGAGGAAATGCATCTGGAGTTTCAAGGCTTGATCTGGTCACTATGGAATTGAGAGCAATTCTGCTCATTCTCTGTGTTTCCCTTTCCTATAAAATAGAGGTGAAAAACTCTTCTCTCATTTCACTATTATATCTGGTAGACTGAAATGGTACAAACATGTCTATTTTTAAGGAGGAGACTATATGGTTCAGATGTCTGTATATACCCAATTTTCTTCGGTGGTCCCAAATTAAACAACATTGTTCCTTTATCTATATAAAGCCATGAACATTTCCTGGCAATTCCAATATTTCAATGTTCAAGTTACATTTCTTGCACTGCCAAACACACACAGAAATGCTACAGAAATCCTCTCTTTGGCCACACTGTCTAGATTTTTGGTGTTAAAAATGTAATAAATCACTAAACAGTGCAATGGGATATTTCATTTTTTGTGTGTTTTTGTTTTGTTTTGTTTTGTTTTCTCAAGCATCTATATCTTTACTGGGAGTGTTGAGGATTGGTTGGTGTGTCCAAATCCCCACGTCACTGTCTTTCCTTCTAGTCCACAATTATCTTTTTCTGTTGGAACAACAATTCCCCTTCTGTTATCAAGTGTTTTCATTTGTGTGACATAATTTGCCTCATTTTTTTTTCTTTCATTTCAGGAGGTTACATAAACAACCTTATCATCTAACTAAGCTTAGTGAGAAAGGAAAAATGACTTTCACACCCAACTATATGAAACATGATTACAAAATGCTTTTATCGGGATTCTTACTTCTGAGATTGAGATAGTACAACTCTGGGACAGAATTTATGAGGGAATATCCATGCCAATCAACTCAAATGAAGAAATTTCTAATGCAATTCTTTGGTGACACTTTGCTATTTCTCCTTGCTTGGGCTATGGAAAAAGCCTCCTTGCCAGCTCCCTGCCATCACTCTTTCCCCATAAAATAGCCAAAGTGATTTTGTAAAATAGAAATCAGATTTTACCTCACTCCCTGTCAAAGTCTTCAGTGCCTTGTCATAACACTTGGAATAAAATTCAACTTGGCTTAAAAGACCCACCTCACTGGGGCCCAGCCCTTGTCATCCCCCATCTATACCACCTACCTCCTTCCTAGCTTTTGAGCAACTTCAAATCTTACAGCATCATAGGGCCTTCATTTCTGATCTTTCTCTTTATGTCCTTCAGGGTCTTCCATTGAAATGTTGCCCTCTCAGACAAATGCACATACTCACCCTTTCTTTACCCTACCTTTCTTTTTCTTCATAACATCATTTGAAATTACATTAAATTATTAGCTTGTTTGTTTTTAAAATGTGTACTTTTTGACAACAGGGTCTGTTTTGATATTACTCACTTCTGTCTCCCCAGAAACTGTGTCCCCAGAAACTAAAACCATGCTTGGGCATAATAAGTGTTTAATAAACATTTGTCAGGTAAATGAATAAATTCTTAAGCACACACTGTATCTCTTTCTTATAGCTTGGTGTTATTATTCTTCAGAGGTGAAAATAAATGTTGTTCTCATTTTTATGAGTAAACTCTTTTTAGAAGATAAAATAATTGAGTCATTTATTTATATGAAAGCTGTTAATTCATTTTGTAGGAAAAGTCTCTTCATTATTTTTTTGGTCTCCCCCAATGAGGCTGAGGATCCTCAAGGCTGAAAATAAAAGTGTTGTTCATCAATCTACCCAACCACTCTTCACTAACTTTTGACCCAACAAAGAGGAACTAAGATATAGGTAATGACTGCTGAGTCCTTGGGTACACAGGAACAAGAGGGGAAAAGACAACGGCAGTGGTAGCATATAAGTAGATCACCTTTGTCCCTCCTCTGTCTGGCCCTGGAAGAAATGCCA